ATTCAAAACAGCTAATAATAATAATAATAGTGATAATTTATCAAATGAATATATGATTAATCTACTAAAGAAGAAAAATATAATATTTCACCTTAATATTACATCATTAAATGATAATGTTAAAATGTAAAATAAATTATACTACACTATATATACTACTGTCTATACTATATATACTACTGTCAAAATTGTAAAGTAAGATTTCAGTAAACTTATATAATTCCAAAACAAACAACAAATCAAACTATCTCGTTATGAATGATAATAAAAATTGGAAAACATTAAGAATAAATAATAAAAAGAGAAAAAAAAAACAAAATAACTTTTTTTATGGTTTATTTATTAGAAAATCAAAAATGGATAATAATAAGAAGAATCAGTTGAACACAACATAAACAGTTGGTTCATTGTTCATTGACCTTAATTTTAGTGTAACTAATTATTAATTTTTATTGGTCAGAGTAAAAGTATAACCATTAAGTCACCTTTCTATTTTCAATATCTAAATCCAACCTTCAAAACAACAACAACAACAATTAAGTTTTAAGGTTTGTCCTTATTGAAATTAAGTTTTAGGGATTTATAATACAATTTTATGAAGGGTTATAAGTTATGGTAAACTTTTAAGTCTATCAGAAAACAGGAGAAGTAGTGTATATATATATCAGACGTTCTAAATTATAAACTAATTTATTGGTTGCCTTTTGTGGGTTGATTAAAGTAAGAACACAATGGAAAACCTGGAAGCATTGAACGGCCGAATTGTCCTAGTATTGGACCCCTCAATAGTGCGCGGCTACAACACTACCCGCGGAATTACAGTCTAGGACCTTCGGTTTCGCTTGTGAACGCCTGAACTCTAGACCACTGAGCCAGCATCCAATGGTCTAAATTCAACAAATCCGTTTGTTTGAATCCTACGGGCGGGATCGTAGATGCGCACTGCTGAGGAGTCCCACAATAAAACGAAACGGATGTCCACTGCTTCGAAGTTTTTCATGGTGATCTAGCTACAATCGACTCATGATTTCAACTTGCAAATTACTAAAATCTCCACAAAACCCCATTCTGAAAATAGATTTATATAAAGTTTACTAAACACTTAAAAAAGAGTATTATGGAGTCACAGAACTAATAGAAATAAATGATTAGAAAGGGGTTTTGTGTAGAATATAGTAATTTACTAGTTGAATTCCTTGGTCGACATAATCTAAACTACCATGGAAAACCTGGAAGCGCTGGACGTCTGTTTCGTCCTAGTATGGGACTCCTGAGTAGTGCTCATCTACAATCCTCTCGAGAGATTCGGACTAATTATCATATCCTCTTCTTAAAATATGTTAACACAGTGGTGTTTGACTTGTAGTGAAAAGCAAACGTAATGCGAAAAATACTTTGTGAATACATTTTCCCAGATGATTACCATCAATATATCACCATTAACCAATACACTATATTGCTAATAAATTTGTCTGTAACTTCACCTGTTTATGTAGACTTTTTAACTGATACCCAGTCTTTCATAAATATCCTACATTTGAACCTTAAACAGTAAACCAATGCAGGTAGGTATAAAAACAAGCCTTACTTCCAAGATTAACTTAAATGTAGAATATTGTTTTGTGTAGATTTATCTGTGACATTATAATGCTAGAAACTTGTAGAATCTTCCCAAAGTCGCCGAATAAGTATGCCTCGCAGTATACCGTCTTCTTGTAATTCTCTGAATAGTCTCTTTTTAACAATGATCAGATGAAGTATTTTCATGTTTTCCCGGCTTCTGAATACCTTTCTTAGGTATTCAGGAGAAATCACAACACTAGCTAAAAATTTCACTCAAGCCCCCATTCTTAATAGTCCAAAAAAATCAAATTAGTTAATGTTCATCATGATCTGATATTATAATATAAAAGCCGTAGATTTTTTGTTGGCATCGATTCAATATCCGTAACATACATCTTCACTCAGAGACTCGAACCCAGTGCCGCGATTGCATTTGAAGCAAACAGTTCTAGGTCCGAATGCAGGAATGAAAAACAACTCTGGGATGCAGATACATCCGGCTAACGAGTTCCAAATAGGAGGAAACGCGCGTACTGTATTCCACTATTTGCCACTATCCACGTTTCTTATAATTATTGCGAATTACGATAATATCAAAGCAATCCGTAAAGTATGCACATATGCCTATAAGAGACTGATCAATTGCAGTACTAAATATCACTGGGAAGATTTAAGTAAACAATACCAAGTGAATTCATTATTTTAATAATTGAATTTATTAGTCGATTTAAGCTAGACCATCATTGAAAACCTGGAAGCAATGGACAACCATTTCGTTTTAATGTGGAACTCCTCATCAGTACATATCCACGATCCTGCATGTGGGACTCGAACACAAGACATTCGGTCTCGTAAATGATCCCCTAACCTTCAGACCATTCAGTCGATATCCAAAATATTCGTTTATTTTTAATTTTCCAACTAAAGTAAATCAGTGTTAAAGTGTACAGAACATCGAAATTTCTCAGAAATTTCCATTATTCAAACTGCATTTTATATTTAGTGGTCGATTTTAATTTTTTTTAAAATTCACATCGAATTTTGTACGATTATTTCATTGCATAAGAACAATCGAATCATTCTTAAAATACAAGTTTATGTTACCGAGAAAAGCATTTATACTTTCTGACAATGATATCATATAAATTACACATAACCACTCATATATAAACAGATACCGTTAACAATTTTGTATCTAAGCAAATGATTCTATTTTATTGAAAGTTACAGTTAATTGACTTAGATTTTGTTAGTATGTTGTATAGAACAATAATAATAATAATAATAATAATAATAATAATGATAGTAGTAGTAGTAGTAATAGTAATAGTAATAGTAACAGAAGTAGTAGTAGTGGTAATAGTAGTAGTAGTAGTAGTAGTAGTAGTAGTAGTAGTAGTAGTAGTAGGAGTAGGGGAAGGAGTAGTAGTAATAGTAATAGTAATAGTAGTGGTAGTAGTAGTAGTGGTAATAGTAGTAGTAGTAGTAGTAATAGTAATAGTAATAGTAGTGGTAGTAGTAGTAGTAGTAGTGGTAATAGTGTTAGTAGTAGGAGAAGGAGGACGAGGAGGAGTAGGAGTAGGAGAAGGAGTAGTAGTAGTAATGATAATAAGCCTAAAGTTTTCTCACAAATACATAAACATTTTTCAACTAGAAAACTGAATTTTTTTATTCAAGATTATTTACATTCATTAGTTACTAACCTATAAGTATAAATGAAACGTTTATACAATTACTTCTATTCTAAATAAAATGAGTCAATAAGAATGATTAATTTAGATGATCACTTTTATGTATAATCTATGCACTAGTTCAGTCTTAATTTAATACATTTATGTATTGTCATAGTCTTTTAATATTTCCCTGTGCAATATCTTTATGGATCTATTTTTGGATATGAATTGTTTATTCAAATGAATTCTTGATTCCAAAACAAAGAAACAGAACGTTTTAGTGTCAACCAAAGAATGTAGAATGACAGATTTGATGTCGTTGTCATTGAAAGTCCTATAGAATAATCTCCATTTCAATATGACAGCTTATAACAATTCACATATCTATCTATCTATCTATCTATCTATCTATCTATCTATCTATCTATCTATCTATCTATCTATCTATCTATCTATCATCATACGTTCATTCATCTATGACTTCGAATCAGTAATTCATTGTTGATAAATTCGAAAGAACTTTATATCAACCGATTAATATACATTAGAATGAACAGTTTTAATAAAGCTGATATACCAGTTAAATGTGTTCTTCTGTTAATGTTTCTTTAGATTGTTGATAGATATTTAATGGATAAAACTTTATAATGATTGCTTGATTATGTAATAGAAAATAATATGAATGTTTCAATAGTGAACGTATTTTTTTTATCAGATGAAGTTTGTGGATATTATAGTAATTTCAATGATTAAGATCATGAGTCAGTTGAAGCTAGACCACTATGGAAAACCTGGAAGCACTGGACGGCCGTCTCGTTCTATTGTGGGACTCTTCAACACTGCGCATCCATGAACTCGCCTCCTGCGAGGTTCGAACCTAGGACCTACTGGTTTCGCGCGCGAGCACAATTTCATTTCAAATATGTCTTATGAACTTCTAAATTGATACCATCTTATAAAACATCAACAGAAATACAAGATTTTTCTAATGATAGATTGGTATTTTAGTTGTTTAGACTACCATCTCAAATCAAAGATTTTCATCTTTCTTTTAATCTTAAACTTTGTTTAATTCTACATATATGCTTTGCTGAATTAATTCAAGTAAGTGAAGTGAGTTAACACAAATACACAAGTATATGAATCTCCCATATAAATACAGAGATTGAACGATTGAAGTATCCAATAAAACCCAAGAAACACTTCAGAAATTCTACTTATTCATAAGGTCTGTTCATAGAGCTGAAGTGTTAAAGAAAACAAACAAAGAATCCTGATGATTATATGGATGATATGAGGCCAGAACAGTCGTCCAATTCATATGTTGATGAGAACAACAAAAATGTAAAATTTTCTAGACCTTCCTATTCGAAATTTACTGTATTATTATTATCTCATAGTTTTAATTTTTAAAAAAACGTCATTTGTTACCAAAATTCCAAAAAAAATGAAACATTGGCGCACATGGAGATCATGAATACTAGAGAATTTCAGGGGTGTTTTAATCATCAAAAAGGGAAATGGGATTGTAACTTTACTGACAATTCGGAGTATTTTAATAGTGATTACAGTTATGTACCTTATGTACATATTTATCAGACAAAGCATATATATATATATATAATTAATGCCACAAGACATTTGCAAAGTGTTGAGTAACGAGGAACGTATTTGTACACATCCATCATTTCATACTACGAAAAGATAATTGTTCATTGTTCACAAAATCACTTATATCAGTAATGTGTACATTTTTATACTTACCACCAACGTCCTTTAATTTGAGGTACTTTCTCTTCTGTATTACTTTTATTCTGTTTATTGAATTTTATTGAATTAATTACTGGATTTTGCCATTTTAATTGAGTTCTATGCTTTAATTGTTTATTTTGATGATCAACATAATTTGATAAACTTTTATTATATGCACTTTGTATAAGTGATGAAGGGTATATTGTAAGCGGTTGAAAAGATGATGATGATGATGATGATGAAGAGGTAGGCAATTTCATAAATTTTTTTCTTTTCATATCAGAATATTGATTTAGTAGACGTGATTGTTGAGCTATTTGTTGTCTGTATGGATTTAATTCTTGTTCTTTATTCCATAAATAGGAAGTTTGTAAATTATCATTAATTTCATCAATAATAATCTTATTATTGTTATTATTATTATTGTTAGTAGTAGTAGTAATAGTAGTTGAGTTGTTGCTAGCAGTTTTACTATTCAATGGAAGATTATTTTCTGATGAATAAGAATTAGAAGCAGATAATACTGATGCATCATCAAAATAAAATTTATCATGAAAATCAGAAAATTTACGTTGAAGTTTTGTTTGTATAAAAGATGGAAACACTAGAGAAGATGATGATGAAGTTAATTGTGCTACAGAAGCTGCTGGAACTGCTACCACTCCTTCCTTTGACGATGGCGACGACGACGACGACGACGATGATGATGATAATGATGATAGTATATTTGGTAAATAATGTTTTTCTGAAAGATATCTAACAGGAAACTTGAATCTATTCAAATGATCCGGCAATTTCTTTATATATTGACCATAAATATTATATGATAAAATGATTAAAAGAAATAAATTATAAAGTTTAATCATTTGCATTATATCTTTCAATTTATTTCTCATTACATAGTATCAATGTTTATACTCTTATCCATTTATTTCATGTTTCACAATGTAGCATATGAAAATCAAATGACAAATTGATGGGATTAAGTTAAACAATCATCAAGAAAGAAACAAATAGAAAAACTGTACTTATTTGAAATGATCATATAAAGTGATTATCAGTAGTAGTAGTAGTGGTAGTAGTAGTAGTAGTAATCGTAGTTCTATTAAATTATACTGAGTAATTATGTAATATCAAAGTGATAATAATGTTTCAATATTTATAATGTAGATAATGTATATAAAAGTAGTTACTGTGTGATTTCCCTTCGTTTGTTTCTTTCTTCGAAAAGAAAGAGAATAGAAGAGTAGATCAACTACAACTACAACAACAACAACAACAATGAAGAGAATTGGGTTTAGAACAAATAAACACCGTAGTACAAATAGTTCATTTAATTATATGTATGTATTCAAATGAATAATTCAATTTGTATTTATGTCATGACCATGTGTTCGTATCCATCTATCTATAGGTATCATTAATAAGATTACTGTATTGTGTATTATGATATTAATAAACATTAATAGTCATTATATTCAAAATGGTATTAAATCTCAATAGAACGTGTATATATATACATATATTAGTGCAGTATAGTAGATTGAGTAATGAAAAAAAGAGAGTTTCTTCACAGTTAATTTTGTTTCAGTATACCTTTTACATGAATAGGATTTCATGGTGTAGTGTTTTTTTTTAACTTGTTCTATGCATTATGTTTATATGTACGTATGTTTGTAAGTAGTATGTATGTATGTATGTATGTATGCATGTCATTGTATGTATTGGTGAAGTGTGTAAAATTAAACATCGATAAATATAACATTTATATTCACTGGAAAGAGATATAAATTTGTATCTAATTTGATTCGGTGCAGTTTTGGGTTCTTCTTAATTTATTTTTTGTCTTGTATGTACAACTGTGCTATTTATGTCTGTCTATAATACTGACCCTGCAAAATTTTGTGTAAAATATTAATAATCATAATAATCACATTGGCGAGAGAGAGAGAGAGAGTGAGTGAGTGAGAGGGTGAGGGGATACAAGAATTTTTTTCAAATGCTAAACATACACTGGGATACAGTAACCAATCCAGTAACTAGCTTGTCAATCATCAAAATGAAATGAAATCAACTAATTTTGGCCTATTGAACTATTGAACGAAAAAATGTACATATTTATCCATATGCAATGTGTGTAATTGAATAAAATATTAGATAGCAATTTATAGCCTATATGTCAATGTGATTTCATCTTTTCCAGTACTGGATATTCATTCATTCATAAAGGCATAAGGCATACAAGTATTAGCTTATAAATGAATGATTGTTTCATTTCACCTGTCACCATTAAAAATGTAAAAAAAGAAGAAAAATAAATAAATAATCACAACTGTCTAGTGTAATGTGTAAGCATAGATTCACTTTGTATGTGTGCGATATAACCAATGATACAATAACTAGATTCATGATTATTAAAATATTATGATTTAGTAACCATGTAGTAATTAGAACTATCACTAAGTGATTGATGAATATCTAATTCTTGATTTATTGATCATCTTTATATTAAAGAAAAAAAACTCATCCATTTTAATCTTTTTCACCTTTTCTTCTTCTTCATCATCCTTATTGTTAGATAATTTGATTTACTGATTACAGTCTTACTTGTCTAAGATTAATTACTTCTCCATGTAGTTTTTGTCTATTAGTGGTCGTTTGTAGAAGGAATATGATTTTTTAAAATAAAGAAAGTAAAAATCTACTATCACCACTGTGAATAACATATGTCAATCAACATCAACAGTACTATTCATAAGAATTACAATGAAAAATTGACAGTTTTAAGGCGAGACTATAAGTTATGGACGAACCAATCAGATATAAGATAACGAGTCACGATAAGTGGCGCGAAATTCATCCATACATTTGGCTAAATAGAGTTTTGGCATTATAACTGATGTCAATTCGCGATGAAAACTTTAAATCTAGGTTTTGACCTTAACCATCAGCTGAAAATGAGAATTCTAGCTGCTTCATAAACCCCATTTAGTCCTAATCAGTAGGTGTCCATTCTCAAGGTCACGTAAGCGTCGCTCATAGGTCCTCCATAAATTATAGTCTCACCGCTTAAACTAAGAAATACGTTTAGAATTTTTACTGTACTTTATTATAAGCTCATAATCATTCAATAAAAATTAAAATAATCTGATGTAATACAAGAAAAAACTAAGTGAAACAGTGTTTTGATAAATGGTCTAGTTTGGTTTTGTTGAGGACGTTTAATCCCCAGAGCTCGCTTGGGAAAGGACCTAATTTTGTAGTTTTATTTAAAAAAAAATTGAATTTTATTTGTTTTCACGCCAAAGGCGCTCTTGTCACCTTCATGTCGTATTTCCCACTGGGAAATATCTTAAGTGCTATTGGTCCGTTGCGTCGTTTAGTATGCTATTTGGTAACTCTCCCCAACGACGGTTTTGTACTGTATATATACGTTTTGAATTGTGTTTGTTGTTATCACTCGTTTTTGGCTGTTTGCAGAATATACTTCCCCATTCCAAGCTTGAACTTCCCCCTCTAGTTAGCGGGGCTGGGACGCATCAGATAGCTAGCTTACTGGTCTATGGTCACTGAAACTTTGTTCTTGTTGGCATATTAAGTGAGTTCGTAATCGCTTCAACCCTAGCAAATTTGGCGACGGTGGTTTCGGAAGCATGGATCCTTCTAAACTTGAATTATTACTCAAGCAGCATATGATACTTATTCAGACGTTAGTAGATACAAAGCTTACGTCTAATACACAACCAAGCAGTTCTAATCCTACTACTATTGCACCATCAGTTGATGGTATCGCTAACAGTATCTCCGAGTTTCGTTCCGATCCGGAATCTAATGTCACGTTTGACATGTGGTTTCGACTTCACGAAGACTTATTGAAATTTTACTTTGTTAACCATCATGATACTTGGAAGGTCCGCTTGCTGCTTCGGAAGTTGGGTTCTAGTGAACTAGACAGATATTGCAACCTAATTCTGCCTCTAAACCAACGCGATCGCTCATTCTCGGACACTGTCAAGTCATTGAGCCAACAATTCGGAGACAACTCTTCACTATTCAATGCGCGCAATCGATGTTTGAAGCTCACTTTGAACGAAGATGCTGATTTTCTCGCAAATATGGGTATCGTTAACCGAGAATGCGAACACTTCCGCTTGAAGTCGCTTACTGACGACCAATTTAAAGCACTCATTCTAATCTGCAGCCTTCAATCACAGACGTTCAGTGACATTAGAACACGCTTGCTAAGTCGATTAGACCAGGACCCAAAACTAACACTTAATGGTATTGCAAACGAATATCAACGCCTAATCAATGAACAGCGTGACACTACGATGGTCCAGCGTGGTGGTTCAAATCGTACCGAAGTTCATGTAGTCCATCAACCACGCAACTCGCATAAATCTGCCCCAGCAACATCTAGTTCAGGTCAACAGACACACGCGAATCCTCCCGCTCCATGCTAGCACTGCCATGCATGACATTTTGTTCGATACTGTCCATATAAGCAACATCGGTGTAGGAAATGTAATGCGGTGGGTCATAAAGATGGTTTTTGTCGAAAAAAGAAGCCGAGCAGCTTCAGAGGTACCAGAAAGCCTACGCCTAGATCCAACACGAATTCGTTGAGTCTAATAGCAAGCTGTCAGGACTCAACCCAAGGTGAGAGGACATTTATTACCCATAATACTAATGGTCGCCCGTTTATATTGCAAATAGACACTGCATCGGACATAACGATTCTCTCACGAAAATATCGGATCAGAATGGGAAGACCACGCACAGAAACCTCGAACTGCATGCGGTAATTATCTACGTTTGTTGGGACAACTAGATTGTGAAGTGTCTTTTCACGATTCGACGTTTACCTGGGTATTTTACATCACACCAGCTGACCTTAATCTACTTGGTTTAGATTGGTTTGACCAGCTACATTCAGCTGACGTTCCGTTAGGCATCGTATGCCATCTGGTGAAACAAACCCATGAACCTGAAGCATATTCGAAAGAACTAATGACGGAGTTTTCAACCATTTTCCAGTCTGTATTGGGTCAGTGCACTGCTATGAAAGCAACATTTCGGTTGAAACCTGGAGCTAAACCTGTCTTCCTTCTAAAGAGACCAGAGCCAAACGCAGCATTATCGAAAGCTGACGAAGAACTTAACCGTTTTCAACTACAGGGCGTTATTACACCTGTTTCTTATTCTGCCTGGGCATCCCCCATTGTGGTATTTAAGAAGGTTAATGGCACAATCCGAATATGCTCAGATTTTTCCACAGGTCTTAACGCAGCTCCCGAACAGCATCATTAACCACTGCCAGTCCCTGTAGATTTGTTCACGATGTTAAATGGTGGAAAGTTCTTTGCAAAGCTTGATCTCGCTGATACATATCTACAAGTGGAAGTGACTGAGGATTCGAGAGAGTTACTTACCATAAACACTCATCAAGGCTTGTTTCAGTACAATCGCCTACCATTTGGTGTTAAAACAGCTCCATATATTTTTTTAGCAGCTAATGGATACCATTCTATCGGGTATCCCGGGGATCACAGCTTATCTCGATGATATCTTAATTGTTGCCACATTGTTATAACAGCTTCGAGAACGCACGACAGCGATACTAAAAAACGTCAGCGATAACGGATTCCGATTACACCCGGAAGAATGCCAGCTTTTCTTGAAGTCAGTAAAATACATGGGATCCATCTTTGATGCCGCAGGTCGCAGACCAGATCCTGAAAACATCGGAGCTTTAAAACTGATGCCGACTCCCACTAATATCTCTGAGCTACCATCATTCCTAGGAATAATTAGCTACTAATCAGCTTTTGTTCCGTCGATGTATGACATACGCGTCCCGCTAAATCATTTTCTGAATAAGAATACCAGCTGGAACTGAACAAAAGAATGTGAAGCTGCATTTTGCAAGCTGAAAACAATCATAAGCTCTGAAATATTACTGACACGCTAAGATCCGTCCATGCCTATCATTGTCGCTGCGGACGCTTCAGCCTTTGGACTCGGTGCTGTCATCTCACATCAGTTCCCGGACGCAACAGAAAAAGCTACTACACACGCATCTC